TCAATGTTGCCTGCTGAACAGTTGAATGAGCATAATTATAAGACATCAGTGACTTGAATCATTAATAACTTTTGTTCCTTACATTTGATTGAAAAGTGGGTTTCAACAAAGTTGTAAGTGGGAAAATTTTCTACAATCACTGCTATCATTTTGTTAGATACATATGAACAAAAACATAAGTTTTCCCATAGTTATTCCCATATAAACTTGAAATGGTTTGTGCGAAGTCAGTTTCTTACTAAAGTAGTTTAAATTTTGGGAGGCTAAGCAGGACCCAATTTGGAACCGTTTAAGCACTGTGGAGCGAAAATTTCAAATTTTGCATCAGTCTAATGGGCATATCGGAAATCATCCATCAAAGTTGATTGCTGCTAGCTCAGCAACATAAACGGAACAAGGTTCCTGAAGTTTCCGAAAGGGGGTTGAGTATTCATTGAAGACGCCGAAGCCAGTGGATCCATCAATGCGTGATCCATCAGTGAAAAATCTTCTATTGCAATTGACTTGTTGGTACTTTTCAGCAAAAATGTGGGGAATTGAGATAGGTCGAAGTTGATCTAGAACTCCTTGAATAGCCTGTTTCATCGAGAGATCATAGTCATCTTCTAGAGACTTTTAAAACTCTTTAAGACGAATGTTTTATTGCTGAATTTGTTGCCGGTATCTCTTCTAATAAAAAAGATATACTCAAATATAGTAAAAAATATGAATTAATTCAAATTGATTTTATACGAGTTTAAAAAATAACATACCTCCAATTTTTTCATATTATTGAGAATAACATACGCTCTTTCAAATGCTGCCAATAAACTTTTTTTTTGTTTGCCCCAACCAGAGATATTAACATTTGAAAAGTGCATATTTTTAGTATAAAAACGTCAATAACTCTTGATCGACGAAAGATATTGACAAGCTTTGTGCAGCAAAAATTTCACCTTTTTAATATCTAAAAGTTATCTGAAGACACATTTGCTGAGAAATTCGAAATAAGAAAAATAGAGCAAAAAAACTGTTTTTTAAGAGCCACCCTAACTCAATTCAAGAAAATAGCTCTAAATCGGCCAATTTAAGAGCGACAAAAAAGTTATTTTCAACAAAGTTGCTTGAAATTAGCTCAGCTATAACTTTGCCGAAGAATGTATACCTTAATTTATTCGAACAAAAAAGTTAGATTTTTGATTTTAATGATAATAGGAACCATCCTAGAATTCTTTGTCATAAAAATGAGGGCCTAACTATAAGGAACAACTTTGTAGAAGAGACTTTTAGTCTAAAGTTTCAATTTCAGGCTCAAAACATATCATTCCAGCTAAATCTGCATTCTGGACCACTGTGCGTTGTGTACTACCGCAAACTATATTAGAAATAATCTCAGTGATTATTCTCTTCCGCTAAGAGCTACATCTACCGTTTCAACTTCCCCACGCGTTTCTACTTGCCCCGGTATAGGGTAATGGATTTAGGTTGGACCTATTCATGTCATTTTCGCATTGCGTCTAAATGTATGCCGTGTTTTTTCTATGAATATTACATATGGACATGAAAAATGTGTGTTTGGTGAAAAATTCTAACTATCTAGTTTCTAATAATACTAAAAAATGAAGAATGTTCTTAAAATAGGATTTTATTGAAACGCTGGCTCGTAATCACACAAGCATTCCTGAGTAATTGCGCTTATTGGGTGTCTTAATTTTAAAAAAGTGTCTCGATTGTTATAGATCATCTGAAAGAGCTTCTTTTTTTGAGCACAACGATATTTTTTCGAAACCGAAGACTTTTATCTCGATTTTTAAATCAAAGTTTAAAGCAAAATATTAACTCCACTGTTTGACACTAAACTAACAAATTGACAGCTCGCTCCCATAAGGTGACATTTGCTAAAACGGTGATATTTGATAATGTAATCGCACTTATTTAAAATAATTCCAGTGCTCCAATTTTGATCAAATTTCGGATTTCGGTTCCATGTTTAATGTAGTTTACGAATATGCCTTTACCTCAATACCCTTAAATAACACAATTGGAAACAGTAGATAGAGCTTCTTTCTCTATGATGCACGGTATATGCATTTGAGTTAACATCCGACATATACATATTCTGCACAAAAATACTTTCTAAGCCCCGCCTCTGACAGGATTTCCCTTTCCCAACGTTTTTTTTATGAATGGGGTGGGACAGAAAGTATCTTTTATGCAGAATATGTAAAAAGGATGGACTTCGGATGTTTATCTAATTGCATCTGGTACCTCTATATACCAGATATGTTTTACAGTCAGTTGGCGGTAAATCACCCACAGAATAACATCAAAATATTGTGAGTGATTTTTTTTCTCAAATTCAAAGCTCCCTGGGCAGTAGTTGGGTAAAAGAAATTAACGGAATTAAACTTTTTTTTTACTACATTGTAGTTTGCTTAACAATTATTTCCCGGCATAAATTGATCGTTAAATACCATGTTTTTTTCATGTTGTCGTTATAGGGGAGGGGGGGGGGGTGCTTAGCATAAATAACTTTTCCGCGTTTCGTATTAGGGGCTGTTCATTAACTACGTAGACATTTTTTTTGGGATTCTTGCCACCTCCCTCCCTCCCTCCCCTCTCGTAGTTAATCAACAGCCCCTTAGTTGAACGGGACCCAAGTCACCTTTAACCACTGACTTGCTCCTGCTTACTGCAGAACCAAGCGCCACGCCGTCCGAAGCGGTAATGAACAGAAGCGCGACAGCAGTGCTGTTTTATATCTTTTTAGAACGATGTCTACTTTGACATAGACTTGACCGCAAGTCCGCAAGTGACATCGTTCCAAAGTTATAGGCCGATTAGTGGACTCGTGTCCAGACGCTCCAAGCGCGCTCAGGTGAGCGCTCAGAGTACCCGCCGTTACCGGCGAAACGGCGTGTCTTAGTAGTCCCAACTGCTGCCGCGATTATCTCTAAACGATGTTTTCAAAATTGGCGGGCGCTGTATTTTAGAAACGGCTCATTCAATCTTAACGGCGATTGAACTTTCGAGTTAAGTACCTTTTTTCTAGTCTTGTACGTAGCCGATTTTCAAAAGAATCAAAAATGGATTTTTGGTGTAAGCTTTTATCCCCAATTTTAGGGTACAAAAACGGACTGTGTTTTTTTCAAAACGTCGCCAAATTTTTATTTTTCAACCAAATCAAAAACGTACAAGACTGGGTCATCTATCAGAGAATAACCACAACAAAATTCGTTGTTCCAGCTCCAGTGGTGTGACCGCCAGACGTCCCGCCCCGCGACGACTCAGACGGGAGGTCTCCTGGGGAACCTGGTGCAGCGGCTACAGGAGACATCCAATCGCGCCAAAAAAAATCTCAATTAAAGAGGACATTTCAATCGACAAAACCATGCATTCCTTTTTTTGAATTGATCGTTATTTATCCTCAAAAACAAAATCGTGAAAATGACCTATTTTTCATGCCGCCAGAGTGGACTACCCCTTTAAAGAGAGAGCATTGCTTGCAAAATTGAAGGGACTTTGAATTTCATTGAGTTAGGCAAATCATCGGGCTAGATAATATCGAGTAAGGGAGAGTTCGCTGTATTTTCGAAACGAGGACGATGTGTAGAGGCTGAAAATCGAAATCTGACAAAAAATTTTAATGCAATATAGCTACTTCTGTTTTCCAAACAGCCGTTAGATACCATACAATATGAGTATTCTTGATAAGAAGACGTTTTGAAGGAACCGGGAATCTCTATATCTTACGCTATTTTTAGATCCAAGATGGGGACTTTTGTTTAAAAAAAATTAAATATCCTCCGGACGACGTGCTCACGTTCTGAAAATTTTATAAACAATCCAAACCTAACCTAACAATTCGAAAATACCCTATTTTGGAGTTTTGTTTGAAACACGGATTCCAAAATGGCATGATTTTTTTTTTGTCCGTCGAATCTCTTTAAAAAAAATTGTCACGATAAAGATATTTCTTTATCGAAATGAAAACTGAAGGCTAAATAACATGTGAAAATGCTGAAAAAAACATCCACTGCCTACCGGTGGTAATCAAACCCACACCTACCAGATCACTAGATGGCTGCTCTACCAATTTGTTGTGGTTGGCATGATATTTTTGTGTAGGAATCGAGTTCTGTTTATGGAAGCCGATATCTAGGATTTCAAAACGGCACCAGAAATCGATTTCCTGCTAGAACATCTTTCCTGAAATACTCATATTATAGGGTATCTGACGCTTTTCTGGAAACTGGAAGAGATCAAATGGAATTCCAAAATAGAGTCAACTATCGATTTCTGGCCGCTACAAGTCGTCCTTGTTCCGATAATACCCATATTGTAGGATATTTTATGTTCCGGAAGCTGTTAATGTTTCCTGATTTGGTGATTTACGATGTGTTTTACTTTCGTACTTTGTACCATGTTGTAAACTTGAATGAATCGTTGCTAATTAGTTTCTTAAATCATTAACTAATTTAAATCTGAGGGAGAGTCGCGAAGAGGGAACAATTGAACGTCAAATTCAGCCAGACGGCTGCTGTCCCGAACTGTCATTGGCAGCCAAGCAATTATATGATGGTTTTCTTACAGTTTAACCGGAATACTCAAAGCAGTATTGAAATCTTGATTTATCAATTTACTTTGATGCTTTTTGGAAAATTTCAAAAGCAGTTTTTTCCAACGCATTATTTCAGATTGCAAAAAGCTCGCACTATTCGATTCCTTTTGATATTTTACACAAAATGACGCGAGCTTTTTGCAATCTAAAATAATGCGTCGAAAAAAACTGACTTTGAATTAAAAAAAAATGCATCGAAGTAAATTGAACCTTAAAAGCAAAACAAGGTATTTTGCTACGCCTGTTTTGATTTGATTCCAATGGCACAAATTTTCATGACAAGAAGAACAAGTATACAATGAATTCTGTGTGTGCTATCTGCCTTTCCATCTCAGATTTAAATGTATTGCTCAATTTATTCCAGTATATTTTTTATTCTCGACTAAAAAAAATATTCAAGCATTCTATTAATGCATTTCAGGTACAACGAAGCACCTCGAAATGGACTGCTTCCGTCTTCGAGACCAAAATACTCGGAATCACCACAGTCACCACAAAGCGGTCCTGTAAATCTGGCCGTAAGTCCCAACCTACCAAATCCTCATAGCACACAGACGCTAAGTGCTACCAAATTGAGCCATCTCGGACATGATTTTCATGAAAGAACGCTCCAGGCACACGCTCAGGCTCGGGCTCATGCTCATGCTCAACAACAACAACAACAACAACAACAACAACAACAACAACAACAACAACAACAACAACAACAACAACAACAGCAGCAGCAGCAGCAGCAACAACAACAACAGCAACAGCAACAACAACAACAGCAACACCAACAGAGACACCAAGAACAACAGAAAGAAGCCGCGGTTGCCGCAGCGGCTGCTGCCGCGGCTGATATCGGAAAATTATACTCACCAACTAATCCCCGGTTATCGTTTTTTCCCGGCCCGCTGGATAACAATTCCTACCCTGGTTTAAATTATGGACTCTATCCATTTAGGTAAGCAAAACCATTGCAATAAAACGTTAACGAGAAGTTGATAAGTTTCTATTTAAATTACAGTTATTCTGCGGCACATTTAGATGCTCGAATGCTAGGACGGCCTACATACCTATCAGGACAGCGAGATCCATATCCAACGTCTCCTTTCCTTACGCCTGGTTCATTTAGTTCACCTGAAAGTTCAAAATCCAAGAACTACCCCCCAGTTTCCTTATCACATTTGAATGGTCATATTGGCCTGAAACCTACCTCTCTTCCACAAATACCTCAGGACAAATTGCCCTCCGATGAGAGAAGTCCAACATTGCCACCGTCCCCATCGTCGTCAGGCCTGATAGGTGTATACTCAGATAGGGAACGAGGATACCTGAATGGATTGTCGAGTATTCAGGAACACTCCTTACACAGCAAATACCCAGGTAGCCATCCTGCCCTGCACGAGAAGGAAAACAAACACGAACATAAGCAGCACCATTCTAGTCACCACCAACAGCAGCAACTGCAGCATCACCCGATTGCGGGTTCCTTCACGGGTTCACCCCTGCAAGCCCATCATCCATTCCTTCCGCCAATACCATCTTGCTCATCATCATCAACAGTTTCGTCCTTGCTGTCTTCCAGTCAACGTCACCATTCGATGCCGCATCCTCCCGCGTCTAGCAGTTCGTCTCATCATCCTCACCCGGTAGATGGGCTTCGTCTCGAACAACTGCCTCAAGATAACGAATTTAAGGTACCGTCCGGTAAAGAAGGCTCCCTGAAGCATCGAATCCTAACGCGTCCCGCTAGTGAACGAGATGTCAGACGAAGATCTCCTACAACGAAATCGACTACTATTTTTAGGTGAGTAAACTACCGCCCGCCTCGATCAACGTTTATCTTCTGGTGGATGCAACTGAATCTCCTGAGCGTAAATTACATAACGTGACTCTTCTTTCTGCACAGGCCATTCGAAAATGGTACAACGACGAATTTTACCAAGGGTGCCCTGATTCAGCTGGCTGATGAGTGCAAACGAGTAGAAGATGTGCGAACGGAAGATTTAGTACAAACCGCAGAAAAGTCAGCCAACCTACGGCTAGCCGAATCGACGGCAGTTAAAATAACTCCCCGTAACAACAATGTGATTATCACGTTCAGTTATGATAACAACCGATCAAGGGTAAGTGTAATCTTTTCTATATTCTATTTTATGATGCGGCAGCGAAATAGGTGCTGCACATTTAGCTGTGTCCCGCGTAGATATGCAAAAAATCTATATACCTCAGCATTTCAAACTACCTACAATGGTCCTACCTATATTACTGTTTGTTTAATGGAAATTTGATTCTTGCTCGTCGTCGTCGTTGTTCATTTAGATAGGCTGTTTCAAAATGAGTAATTATAAACAATATGTGCTTGCATTGAATGTAAACATGCTGAGGACAATAAATACGCGGTGTCTTTTTATACTAGACTACATTAACCCATTCATGGCGTTGGATGCCGTAGAGCAGCCAATATTTCTTCAAAATCTCTTTGAAATATTTCATTACCTGGCAGCTAAAGAAACGTAATATTAAAACAATGAAATGCTCTTTAAACTTGGAAAAGTGCTTGTTTTACTGCGTAACTACTCAGGTTTACTGTCCTGCCCATGTTTTTTTTAGTGATAACAGAATGAACTATCAAAAAAGCTTCAGTAGTTATACCTAAACGTTTAAGCATACTTTCTTGAAACGTGCATCTATCAATGATTTTATCTATTATTTCCCCTTCCAGATTGACATCGAAGCAACGATCGAGCATCCATTCTTCGTATACGGACAAGGCTGGGCCTCGTGTAGTCCGGAAAAGTCGTTGCATCACTTTGGTTTGAAATGCCAAAAACTGCAAGTCGGCGATATTTGTCTCTCTCTGATTCCACGTGAAAAACCCAAATTGAGTCATTCCTCATCCAATGCTTCTTCGTCGTACCTGGCTCATCAACCGCCAACAACCTCTGGTCAGTATCTGCCCCCATCTCAGCAGCTACACCACCACGATATTAATGGAAACCAGACAAGCCTACACCACCAACAACCATATCATCTCCAATATACTCAATCGATGGATCACCTACGATCGACTCGGGACAGAGGAGGGGACATCAGTAGTCAACAACATCAACAGCAGCAGCCGCAGCAGTATCTACCTCAGAATCTTTCACGCAAAGCGTCCTTTCTCTCGCCAACTATTCCTACTACGGCTACAACTACGGCTGTTTCCTCTCGTCCTTCAAATACGTTACCGTACAGCAGCTTTCCGTCGGTGCCAGTTTTTTCTATGCCTTTTTCAGCGGCTAATCTAAGTAAACCCCACGAACCCTCCCACTATTCGCCAAAAACATCTCCCGATCATTTGAATCTTAGTACCCGATCGGTGACCAATTCATTGAGCTCCCTGGACACGAACGATCAGCCCGTTGCAATGGTCGTGGACAAACATACCCATTCCTCTTCTTCATCGACATCTTCGTCGTCTTCGGGGATCAGCAGTGGCGCTTCGTACACCTCGTCAGCGACTTCCAATGGTGGAACGAAAACTGGAAACAGCAGCAACTCACTACCATCGGCGATGACAGCCGAGGGCGGCACTGTGGACGAAGAAGATTGTGCAATTGATGCATCAGTTTCGCGGAAGCGCCGATGGTCCGCTCCAGATGTGTGTGATGATGCCAGTCAAGGTCAGACGGACATTTCGGGGCAACCGCCATCGGCAAAGATTCCCCAGGTTACAACTTAGATTGTTAAATATGCTGTTAGCTGCTCAGCAGCAGCAGCGCAGTGCATTTTAGGGTGATATGTGCAAAAACTTTAGCAGGTTGTAGGTACCAGTGAATAGAGACTGCAGAAGAATAGACCTTTGGAATGTTACTTTCCGGGATGCTCAAGGAATGCCGTGATCTCATGTCCAGGCAATATAGATGAATTGGAAAAAAAATGGTGGAACACTATCGCACTTCTTTTGAGTTATCATCAGTTGAATTCAAAGAAAAGTGTTCACTTTTGCAGAACATTTCAACTTTCTATATTAAGTTAAGAACGTTTTTTTTATATTAAGAAGTGCAATTGTGATGTCTTTATGAACTTAAGAGATTTGAATATTTTAAAAGTAATTCGGCTTGAATTCATGGACTTTTTAAGCAAGCTCACTATGTTGGAGTTATTTTTTCTATAAATCAAAATCGTTCGTAATGGATTTTATAACCTGAAATAACAAATTGGAAAAAAATATGGGAACTACAGGAGACTACATATCAGGAAGATTGGTAACTTTGCTTCAAGTTTTGAGTCAAGCCACTCTACTCAAGTTGAGGTGGAACGGTATTAGAAGAAAATAATGCATTAGTTTGGAAATAGGTACCATGAGGTATGATATTTAAATAATAATAATAATATTTAAAAAAATGTAGAACAAATGGTCTAAACGACAATATGTGAGGGCGCAAAAGGAATGTTTTTTTTTTATTCAATTAGAGTTTTAACACTTATGCCTTGTTCAGACTACAGAGTTATAACATGTTATAATAATTATCGACAAGAAAAATGTCATCATGTTATAACTGCTTAGTCTGGCCATCATTTTGGCTAAAAATGTTACAAGGGTGTTATAATATTTATCGGCAAGAAAAACGTCTTCAAGACAGCCTTGTAACATGTTATAGATCCGTAGTGCAACAGTGATTGTTCCATTTGTTTAAAACTACTGATTCGGATTTTTTTTTATAAATTCTTAGGGACTGTTTTAGGATTCTTGATCCCCCCCATTCCCTGCGTAGACAATATTGTACAAACAAAATTTTTAAAAATTGTATGGGCCGCGCATAATTGTCAAACCGATCCCCCCCCCCCCGCCCATCACAAACTGTCTACGTAGTTTATCAAAAGCCCCTTATGTTATATTTTTGATGTGTTGAGGTTGCAATTACCTTGATATTGTCAGCGTTCGTAATGCTAAGATCAACACCACACACACACTCTACTCGAGCGAAGAGGGGATGGAGATAGAGCACAAAAAGCAGCATCCACATCGCGTCCTCCTGGTGTACGGATCGTCCTACACTCAAAATAATCGACACTTTATAGTTACGTGAAAAATCAAGTAGAGTATCTCTTTTTGGTTTGCCGTCAATTTTACATGACCCAAGTAGAATCTACATGACACCACTTATATATGAGGGGAAATTCCATTTGAACCGCTACATTGTTTAATGAAGTTTACGTGATTTACCCACACACAGATTCTATGTGCGTTCCACGTAAACCATAAGTGATTTTCACTTCTGAAAAAAAATGAGTGACATTAAATATGGCGCTAGTTCAGTGGGCATATTTTCATGCCAGTGTAAATTCAGATTATTTAAGATGTTACTTTTTTGTGGGACAATTTAATGGGGTAGGTAAGTTTAATGAATTAAACATTTACATAGAGAATTATTAAGTCTGTTTCTTTTTTAGTGTGACAGCATCATTCATGGTGTAATATCAAGTGCAGGATAGGCATTTGTATTACATGTATGTTTTCCCGTTCCCGATCCTTGGCCCGATTGAATCTAATTTCAATATGATTTTGTTGCAGATGTATATATTTTATGACAAAATAAAGGCATATGCATAAAATAATACTAGATCTCTGCCTAATACGAAATCAAGAATACATTTTATTCAAATCGTAGCAGAATTAACATCATAAGAAACCACTATGAGCTGTATTGAAATAATCACGTAACTTCTATGTGATAATGCAGTGACGTTGAAGCTCACTGAAATGATTGCTTCTATATGAGAGTCACGTAACGTCTACGTGAAAAGAGCTATGGAAAAAATCTATGTATGTTTTCACGTAGCATTAACGTGAAGATTATTTTGAGTGTATAGTCCTATCCAGCCGGGTTCGTATTGGTGCGATTTGCGTGTGAACTATCATTCGAAAACAACAATAGAGATCTACAAGCGCAATCTCACGAACACTAAAATCCAACATCCATATATAAAAATGAAGAATAAGAAGAAAAACCAAAAAGATATCGCGATATAACCACTACTTAAAAAGGTAGCGCGCGGTCTCACACACACTTTTGTGCATTTGGAGAACAACAAAACGAAAACAAACCCTACGCATGCACAGTAGCAATCTAAAACCCATTTATGTGTAAAAGTTAACCCATTTTCAATAATACATAGTGGCTGTATCATTAATGAGTAAATTATTTCAACAAAAATGAGTTGTTGCAAACAGTAGCTAACAGTTACTACATAATGTGTATAATAAATTACTCATTAATGAGTAGTGCCACATTTATTGACAATGGGTTAACTTTTTTTCATAATAGTATCCGCTAAACAGCAAAAAAAATGTAATATCGATCAACGTAATTCAAGCTGATGTTTGAAATAATGATGTAATAGCAAAAATCAGATACAATATTACATCAATGGATGTAATTTTGTTCGCAAAATCGATGTACATCGTACAACGTTATATTACACAACCGATGGATTGACCTTGTTGCAGCAGTTTGGATGTAATATTCAACAACTTTTTTTTCTGTGTAGCGTGTGTAAAATAATATTATAGTGCACAGCAAAAAAAAGTTGTTGAATATTACATCGAAACTGCTGCAACCAGGTCAATCCATCGATTTTGCGAACAAAATTACATCCTTTGATGTAATATTGTATCTGATTTTTGCTATTTCATCATTATTTCAAACATCAGCTTGAATTACGTTGATCGATATTACATTTTTTTTTCGCTGTGTGTAGTGTTCATGAGATCCGGCTTGGAGAAGTCAATAGAGTTCTCTACCACCGTTAGTATTAGTGAGAAGTTTCATTAATACATGCATTTTATTGATTAAAAAAAAAAACCGCTGTCAAGTCGAACACTTTGACAGCTAATTTTGTGGTTGAAAATAATAAACAAATCGATTTTACACGGCTACGCTCGCTAGGTTGTATTAGTGAGATCCTGCGTCGAGAAGTCAATGCGGAACGGCTGTGAATGGCGCCCATGCACTAATATATATTCTATAGACTTCTCTGCCAGCTGATATCGTGGATGAAAATAATAAACAACGATTTTACACGGCTTCACTACCAAGTTTGTATTAGTGACATCCGTGATGAAGTGACATCAGCGATTCGAGAGAGCCAGCCGACGAACAGGAACTCATGGGATACCTGATTGAACGCGTGGTCGAGGTCAAACGAGATCATCCTTGAGCAAGAGTGTAGGCCCGCGTTGGCTTCGTCGTTCTCGGGTACGGCTCTTTCGGTTTCAAACATGTCTTCCCCAACCTGCATCGCCTTTTTCACCACATACAGGTCCCTGACATATCGTAACATGTGCTGCTCGATTTATTAGGAGCCTTCTATTTGTTCTACGTTTTACATTCCTGTTATAGTTATTTATTTCTTATTTTGATAAGATCTTCCCCGCAAAGAACGTCTTGTTGTGGCGTTGTAAGTGCTGAATGCTTCGCTTGACTTCCAAAGCCACAATATCATCCAGCTGGAGAAACCCCCCGCTGGCGGGTCCAAAACTGGTTCTGATTTTGGAATTCCCCTATGTTTTCCACAGTTAAAAGGTGAGGACGCAGGGACCAAAAACCGTTTCCTTGTTCACGGCCAAGGTCTTCTTCATTTAGGCTTCATTACTCCGGTTCTCAACTTAGTGTTCCTCGCGCACTTTCACAATTGTTAATTGAGAGCTTTCTACACACTTAAATTTTTTTGGAGAGATTCCAACAGCCGAGAAGTTCTGAATTTGTTTTGCTGAGATTCAAATTAGATTTTTGCTGAAATCTCAGCTAACAAACAAATATTTTGCAGAGACATTAGCAAAAACAAATGCCGAGGTAATCGGTTGTTGGAGAGCTAGCTAGCTAGCTAGTACCGAGCTAGAAGTAAATATGCATGCCGGGTTTATTATACGAGACAGTGACCTCAGAATGCAATCATATGGGAAAGCAATTATTCTGGGAATGATCCACCTGTTTTAATTTTACAATTCGAGCATTTCTCCTATTTACCTGGATGTTTATAAATGGTCATTAATGTGCTAGAAATTGCCGAATTTCAATCTCCTACACACTTAAATTTTTTCGCCGAGATTCCAACAGCCGAGTAGTTCTGCAATTTATTTTGCTGAGATTCAGTAAAACAATTGCCGAGACTCAGCTAACAAATATCATTTGGCTGAGATATCAGCTAACAAACAGATATTTTGCAGATATATCAGCAAAAATAAATGCCGAGGTAATCGGCTGTTGGAGATTTTACCGAGCTAGATTAAGTGTGTAAGTACAGGACAGTTTAAAGTTTTAATCAGTTTCTAAATACATATTGTATATTTGTAGAAGAAGTCTCAGGAATTATTTAATATCTTACCCTACAATTTTAACATTGACATTGAGAGCATCGAACATCGTTTTATTAAAGTATTCAGCCAATCACGTGGAATAGTTTGGAAGTTATCAATCTTTTTAATATGCTGTCCTCAGATATTGATAGGTTATGGATGCAAGGTCTATAATGCGATCGTCAGGATCATTCTGCTCTAGTCTTCTATTCATTTACAAATGACAAACAAATGTGTAGATACTGGTGATACTGAGCAATTGGTACAGAAAAAAAAATATAAACGATGAAAAGCTCATTTGTAATATAAATGATAGATGTTTTCTAAAAACAAACAAAAACAAAATACCTATATGGTATGGAAATTTATTTGAAAGACGCCACGCATGTTTGTACATTGGTTGATTGTGCTAAAAAATAACTTAAAATCATGTTATTTCAGTTAGTTGAAAGTTTTATGTTGATGTGCCTTTTTTTCTTTCCATGAAGGATTTGTATGATCAATGTTGAAACATCCCATGAATATTATCACCCACACACTCACTCTCAATAGTAGACAAGTAGTTTACAAAGCTTCTTTGTTGGTAAAATTGATGATGAAATGCATTTTATTTAACTGTTTGCAGGATATAAACATCCAAATTTGACCAAATACAGGCCATAATTGACCACTGTTTTGATAATTGTCATGAGATTTTCGAACGTGTTTTATTTAAGTTTTGGGTCGTTTGACCAATCCATAATTCTGACATCCAGGCATATTATTTAAATTAATTATGGCTATTCCTTCATGCAAGGTGAAAACTGCTACCGTGCGAGCACCATAAGTTGAACAGTGCCTAATATTGGACAGTTTGATATATATCCAATATTATCAGATAACACTGTATTTTTGTGCTTATCTGTATATTCTCCATAGCAAATAATCATGTTCGTACTCACTGGTTCAACGAGTAAATCTGATAAACATCGAACTGACCATAATTAGACACTGTTCAACTTATGATGAAGCATGGAACGAAGTACAATTTCGTACCGATAAATAAACGTGATAATTCGAACATTGTTTGACTCGCGAGTCATTTGTCTGATTACATAGCACCGGTCGTGCCATTGACGGTACTCAGATTTGTAAACTATCAAGTTCAACCACAAAGCCCTTTTGGATTGTCGATGAGTACAAACGCTATTGTTACGTCTGTTTATCTGAGGTAATAGAAAAAAACTTTCCACTCAACCTGTCCATTTTCATTGCTATGGTTTTTTTTTCAAATAATTTTCCCAGCCATTTATTATGAACCTTTCTCGTGTATTCAGAATAAATACGAAGAATATTGTAGGCAGAGCAAAATATATAATTGAAAAAAAATGCTATTGATGTGATTCAGAAACTGAAAAGTATTGATTGGAATCAAATCTAATTCGTTGTTGACACTTAATCAAGAAACAAAACAAAAGCGAAAGCTGAAAAGTTGTGTATATATAAATTCTATATATTTACTTCCTAGAAAATTAGCTAAGAGCATTAGAGATAGGATTTCATTGGATCATTTGCCATGCTACAAACTAGTTAGATAGAAACAGAATCGTGCCCAAGCGCGCACGAACTGATAGAGGTTTCAATGAGGTGGCCGACAATGTGGAATATTTTTGAAAGCAAAAGAAAATCCATATTTTTTGGTAAGATTTCAACACATTGTCAGAGAGATCAAGGTCACACTTTTGCAGGTTGAAAACCTTTTTACAGAAAGAGCATTAAACAAGAAAACAATTTTGCACACCGACAAAGATACACAGAGAGAAAGTTGATACTAGTAATGTTCTCGGGGCATTTAAACAAATAAAACGAAACAGAAACAAAACGATGAGAGAAGATGACACATAGTAAAAAACAAAGAACAAAAATGAAATCCTACATATATTTTTTCCCTAGCTGCAAAGTCAGATTGTATGTGCCTTTCGGAAAAGAAACATAGATTTTTATTTTCTCAAAGAGTGAAACCGTAAGTACATTCGGTACTGTAAATCATATGCCTTTTTATATTACTCGAGGGACAACACATACACAATCAAACACAATTGGATTGAAAATCTAGCTCACACCGGTGACGACACAGACAAAAAAAAGTTGAGGAACCCCCATTTAGAGCCGCCTAGCAGCAGATGAATGGTAGAAGTACTAGAATTATTTTCTTCAGATGATGACAAAACATATATTCAAATGGAAGTACTCAAGAGAACAGTGCTTAGTTAGAGACTTTGACAAAATGATGCACAAAATACAATTTTAAAAAATACAAAGAAAACAACCAGCATTGTATAGGATTGTAAGCTAATGTTGTAAATTTATGTCAATCAAATTGGAAAAAAATAAATATTACAAAAAATAATTGTTACTTACTTACCAATCAGGCTAAGGCCTTGTTGTCCTCTGCTGTCCGAAGAAGTCGTCTCCACTCTACTCGATCTATGGCCACACTTCGCTAGCCTCGTTGTCTGCAAAGGGTCTGCAGGTCGCCTTCTACTTGGTCTATCCACTTCGCCCGCTGCGCGCCTCTTCTTCTTGTTCCTGTTGGGTTGCTTTCTAGAACCATTTTCACTGTGCCGTCGGGCGGCATTCTTATGACGTGCCCAAAGTACACGGGAAGAAATCCGATTCAATTTTTATGAATAAAAAATCATAAAATGAAAAAAACGTCCCATGCCATGAAATCATAACAATGATCGACAATTTTATGATGGAAATTCATGATTTCATAATGCAGCGGAACAGCCGGCGCCGGTGGTGTAGTGGTAAGCGTGACTGCTTTCTAACACCC